ATTTAATTTAACAAGGGTTAAACTATAGAGGCATACAAGTTTAAACTCTTGTCGGTGGTTAAATACGCACTGTGATTTTGGCCCTAAGTGGGCCAATAATTTTGTGTGATGAATGTAAGTCAGTTTTTTTGCAACTACTTTACAGCAAATACAGTTGCATTTGACCATATAAGGAAAATGCTTATCAATTGAAATTGTTTTTTTTTTTGTACCTGGAATGTTAAAAATGCTGCTTATTTTCATGGATACTTACTTTTCCACAGACTTTGTATATTGTCGATCTGAGTTATCTCCACCAATCGCGTATACATTTCCATTTAATAGTACAACACTTGGCCAACGTCTTGACAGAATCATTGAAGGCAATGTCCTCCACGTTTTCGTTTTTAAGCTCCAGCTTTTAACACCGTTAATTATTTCACCATTTCTTGCACCACCAATGTAAATAATATTGTCTTCCATAAGAACCATGCCGTATGCGGCTGCATCATGTTCTACTTGAGCGTATTTTTCCCATTCATCCCCAGTTTGGTTATATTGAAAAATTGTGCCTTTAAGATCCTACATATATTATGAAGTTAAATCACATATGTACAAATCAAAATAAAAATAAAAATAATGGCCTTATTCATAAAAAATAAAGCCGCTTTAAAAAAGGTTTATACATTGAAAAATGCATGAAAACGTAATTTTATAATGCTCTTTAAACCTACTTTATTTTTTGTGAATAAGTCCATAACTATAAAAAGAAAATTTAGAATGTATTTGAAGGTTTTTTTTTATACAAATATCAGGGACATATTTTTAGGGAAGCAGCCATGCTCGGATACCCATTCAATTTTGATTAAACTAAGATATCTAATGACTCAAATGAAAGCTCATTTCACCTAGTTTTGAATGCAATCTGGCGATTTCACAAATTCAAAATAGTGGATAACAAATAAGACAAAACTCCAAATTTTGGAAAATAAAATATTATAAGTTGCATTCGATATATGACCGTGGTCGAAAGTGCTGCTCAAACGAATTTTAATTTTTGGTAATAAAACGCTCATGCGATGAAGAATAGCGCCATTGTGAATTTCGCTCGTTTAGGTGGTTCACAATACATATACTAGTATTCTTGTCAGCTGTGACGATTTTTTTTTTGTTTCAAATTGAGCAAATCGGTAACACTGAAAGCGAAATACACACGGCCCCTAAATTTTCGAGTTAATTTTATTAAAATCTTAAATAAATAAGGCAAAGACAACTTTCTATTCGAAGGTGGAATCTCTTAACAATCCGCAAATAAGGAAAGTAGCAACATCCATGGATACGGGACTAATCTAAATGAGAAACCACAACACACAAACACAACAGAAAAAAATATGAGCTATGTGAAGGACTTCCAATGACAGATGAAAATGTGGGATGGACTTGTGTAAGGTTTTTGAATTCAACCTGTATACAGTGGTCCACAAAATAATAGGAGTGCGTTATTTTGGTCAGTTTTTGCTATTTGTCTTTTGTTTATTTAATGTTTATTATTTTTATACAAAAGTCAAGCTGGGTATACAACAAACAACGAATAAATTCAGATTTCAACCTTTGTACAAAAATTATTAAAATTCTGTAAATTTTCACCAAAATATCAAACTTTTCAGAGAAAATTCTGGTATGCAGTTTTATAGCCCATTCAATTCTAGTCTGAAGAAGTGCAAGTTTCAAGCTGCTAAAAAATTCCGTTGATTTTTGGCAATTTTTTCTGCTGGCACTGTCCCCATATAAAAGAAAATTGTCGAACATACTTTGTATGGAAAAAACGTGAAACACCTTCAACCGAAAAAATTCTCAAAAATCAACGGAATTTTTTAGCAGCTTGAAACTTGCACTTCTTCAGACTAGAATTGAATGGGCTACAAAACTGCATACCAACATATTTTCTAAAGATTCTGGTTAAATAGTTTGAAATTTTGGTGAAAATTTGCAGAATTTTTATAATTTTTGTACAAACTTGAAAATGTAAATTTATATGGTGTTTGTTGTATTACCAGCTAGGCTTTTACAAAAAAATACGAAACATTAAATAAACTAAAGACAAATAGCCAAAACAGGTTAAAATATCCCACTCCTATTATTTTGTGGACAACTGTATATAAAGAAACAAGTGAAATAATTTAAATTAATTTAATTGGGGTATACACAAGATGTCGGAAGCGTTGTGGCTTATTAACATTTTTTTTATTTTTATTTTTTTTTTTATTGAGCTTTGTGCCACGATTGTTTATTAGGAAAAATTGAAAAGGCAACAATAACATTGAAAAATACATAGTTTACGAAGAGCCTGCCTGAAACTATACAAAAAGGCAAATAAGCAGATGGATGTATAGAATTGACAACAACAACCACGCTGTCGAGTTTAAATAGCGGTAAATCAGCTGCACTTGATAGTACTTGGTTGAATGAGGAAAAATGAATTTACAACAAGAGTTTACGGGATGTATATAGCTCAGTGGTTAACGCTTCTGACTTTCAACATCGATTACGCAGGTTCGATGCCTGCTGAAGTCTAGAAAAAAAGAAGTCTGACGAGGAGAAGTGGTGATCTCCGAAATATCTGCTATAACTTCTACCGCTTAGACTTTGTTGCCTTTTCAATTTTTCCTAATAAACAATCGTGGTACAAAGCTCAATAAAATAAAAATATTAAAAAACAAAAAATTTTAATAAGCCACAGTAACATTGACAAAAAAAAAACGACTTTAGTTCAATCTACTTTGCTGCCGTTCTTATAAGTGGTCCTAAACAATTGTGTTCCCATTTTTTGCAACCTGAACCTTTTACCAAATCCTTTTTGCAAATTGATTGTTCTGTTTTCCATCAGTAAAAACAGCCTTTTCAGTTGTTCGGTAATCACGTCCTTAGACCTGCATGCAAATAAAACAAAAATGTATTATTATTTTGTCGCCAACAAGTAACAAAAAAACCCAAAATACTTACATTTTGAGCAATTTTGTCACACTACGCTACAGCACCGAAAGAAAAAAAATTCTGTTTCGACGGAAAATTCGATACCCAACTAAAATTCAGAGAGGGTGGCATAGCCCATAACACGATACAAAAAAGAAGTTAGTTCCATTGTTACATAGGAACCAAAGTTATCCAGTGTAGAATTTCTTCAAAAATCTAGTTTTTAAAAAACACTGAAACTGTTCAATGGTTTAGTAGTTGCTTTTAAATTCTTTTCGGTCATTGGTGATTATTCTTGCGATCTTTGTACAATGCAGAATTTCGAAAGTATTATCACTGAATTGAAAAGCGAAGAAAGAAGCGTTTCTTTTTCTAAGTATACGCTCTCAGCTATTCGGCTTCAGACTTGGACTTTGTACTTCCTACGGTTCTTAGTTCAAAAATTTTGTTGGGTAAAATTTTAATTTGGAAATAAGCGATAGTTTTCCCCGTTGGATGAATGCTTCTGGTAAGCCATTATTCTTCTAACATTTATGGCTGAATAATAATAAATATCGAAAATACACAAAGCAATTACCATTTTGTAGCACTTACATAAGCTTGCACCGCAAGCAAAGTTGTCTCTGCCGACATTTTGCATATACTTCTGCGAGGGTCTGTGTACTTTATCGATATCATTGCACGGTCTGAAGGAAGCGAAATCCACGATATTGCCTTGAATGCCAATGGCTCACATCCAGGAAGTGTTTGGACATTTCTCAATAAGAACTTTGTGTCAAAAAGGGTCAAGCGTAAGCTACTGATTAAATCGGGAAGTTTTTGTTGCCGCCCAGAAGCATCGTATTCATACCACTGCTTCACAGCATGAAAGGCATCTTCCTCACAAGTCACATTCAAATTACTGCTTTCTATTATTGCCTGCAATTTTTCAGCATCAAAACTGAGAAACTCCGGGCGTTGGCTTATCTGAAAACAAAAATCATATAAAGTACACGTAAGCAAGTGGAATACATAGTATGACACCAAGGAAAAGCAATATGACTCACCTCCATAAAATTATTTATTTCATATTCCAAGAGTTTCTCATACAGTGGTACACACTGAGTTTCACGCTGTAAGCAATATGCCCGCTGCAGTGTATACTCAGATATATGCTGCAAAATATAGTCAACACAACCGACAACTGCTTCATCCAACTTCAAATATATTGCTCCCTTCAGCATTACGTCCACATTTTCGATGGTTATGAGGGCCTTGCCGGTGTAGCAAAATGTTATCAAACGCTCAAAAGTGTCACTGTCAATGTTCGTTAATTCAATAACAGGATTAAAGCCCTTGTCACTTTTGAATAAATCTTTAAAATATGGACTTGCCGCTGAGAGTATCAAGCGGTGTGCTGGAATCCTGTGAGAAAGTAAATCAAATATCACATTCAATTGTTTTTATGTAAATCGATTAAAACTTACATAGCAGTCGGATTAGACAACATAAATGTTACATCTATGAGGTCCTGCTCATCGTAGAAGTCGCATATATTATTCAGCAGTCTCTTGATGAAATGATTGAGAACATGGCCATTCACACCTGGAAGTAGTTGACGGGTGCCATTACTTGCCATTGCAATTGAAATTTCTTTTTTTGATGGGTATTTATGCACTCGTATTTTGTTCGTTTGTGATTTGGTAGAACGCTTTGGATTTCCTAACCTGTTTACCAGAGTATTGGAATGATTTCAAATGCATATATTTGCGTAGAATTAAAATGTATATATCGCGCGTTTAATAATATAGAGAATTATTTCAAATTTTTAACTTTGTTTTGATCAATTCATACAGTATACAAAAGAGACAGATGGAAACATGCATAATAAGCCCTATCCGCCAAAAAGACGTAATACATTTTTGGGAAGTTTGGTATACGTTAGAGTGAATATACTCTCCTTGTAACCGCCTAACCCAACCGCTGTTGTTGTTGTTGTTGTAGCGGCTACAACAACCCCGCCCAGATCGGTTGGTATCTCAGTCGTTGTCGTCAAGTTCCACTAACGGCAACCCTAGGAAGCGTGCAGCTTCTGCGGGGTTTGCCCATAAGGACAAGGCCGTTAGGGATGTCGGGTTTGCCGGGCATGCGAAGAGATGTTTCGAGTCATGTGGGGTCTCTCCGCATGCCGGACATTCGTTCGGCACATCCTCATTCAGCCTACTCAAGTAGGAGTTTAACCTGCTGCAGTAGCCGGAGCGAAGTTGTGCGAGTGTAGTGCGCTGTAACCGCCTAAGCTATTTTGGCAGAGTTCAGAAAAGCGCGCTAGTCGTTTCTCTTCTGTGCCAACTGATGCCAATTGGAGATGCCAAGTGAAGGCAAGTCCTTCTCCACTTGGTCTTTCCAACGCAGTAAGGGCCTCCACCTTCCTCTACTGCCACCAGCGTGTTCCGAGTTGAATACTTTCAGAGCTGACTTATGCGAGTGTGATTTTCGCGCGCCGAGCGAGGACTTTACTTCTGAATTGCCTACTCATTCTAATGTAGCACTTGTTGAGAAGAGTGATTCGGCGTTGGCTTCCCATGCCGACATTATTACCGTAGTTATTGATGGTTCCCAAGTAAATGAAATTCTCTTTCTCCAAATTATAACTGGCAACGGTGAATGGCCGCTACAACAACAACGCGGGTGCCAAGGCGCGAATGCACCGACTGTTCTTTTGATGACATGAGATACTTCGCCTTGTCCTCGTTTATCACCAACTGTTGCTGGCCCTCGCAGAAATGAATGAAATAGAACGTACAATGTTGTATCTTGTTTATTTCTAAAGATATGAATAAAACAATGCATTAATAAAGCAATTTATAAAAAGGAAAAAACTTACCGCAGTTTCCACTTCTGCTCGGGTTGAATATCTTTTTAGTTTGAAATCAGTGCTGTCAACCGTCAACCCAAGCCAAGAAGAAACTACGGAGTTGCCATATGCTATATTGCAAACAAAGTTGCACGAATAATGAAAGGGCCCTGTTTCACAACATTCCCACCCCCGTGAATCCGTCACGATTCACCACTGGAGACATCAAGAATGGCTAGCCTGGATGTAGGCCTTTGTGTTAGCCCGGTGGCCGTACGCACATTCGCACGTCTCACCTCGCCATCTGAACCGGTGAACACCTTCTCTACCAAACCTCGGCGCCAATCTTTCCTGGATACGGTTGGGTCACAAATAAACACCAAGTCTCCCTCTTTCAGACTTCTCATAGGATGACACCACTTAACTCGGCGGGTTAGCGTTGGAAGATACTCGGCCACCCATCTTTTCCAGAATCTCTTCCGAAGCTCTCTGGCGATGCGCCACTGTTTCCGTATAGCACACAGGTTAACAGGCTGTTCATCGATGTGACCGGTCTGGGCAGTGTTGGCGCTCCCAAGCAGGAAATGATTCGGAGTCAATGGCTCCTCTTGATCCGGCGATATTGGCAGGTGTGTCAGGGGGCGGGAGTTAACTATGTTCTCCGCTTCTATCATAAGACTTTGCAACGTAAATTCTCTCGGAGCGACTTCCTTCATGGTGTGTCTCAGCACGCGCTTAACGCACTGGACCATTCGCTCCCAGACGCCTCCCTCAGATGGATTAGCTGGACAGTTGAATAGCCACTCCACGCCCTTTGATGTCAACTCTGTGTGAACCACCTGACAATCAAAAACGTCTGAGAAGCGCCTCATATCGTTATCCACTCCAATAAAGTTCTTGCCGTTGTCCGATCGTATTCTCCGTGGGACTCCTCTACGGTTCATGAAATTGCGCATCGCCAAAATACAGGCGTCCGTGGACAAGTCGTATGCAACCTCCAAATGGATAGCACGTACCGTAAGGCATGTAAAGAGTGCTACCCATCGCTTTTCTACTCGGCGCCCAATAGTCACGCTTACTGGTCCAAAGTAATCCATTCCTGTAAAGGTAAATGGTCTATTATATGGCGTGAGGCGGTCCTTCGGCAGCGGTCCCATCATTGGCTGCACAGGCTTAGCGTTCTTAATTTTGCACACGTTGCACCTCGAAATTACGCTTCGGAGAAGTCTTCGCAGACGAGGAATCCAGAACTTCTGCCGTATCTGACAAATCGTTGCCTCGCTATTTTGGTGCATCATCTTGTCGTGGAAACGCAGAGAAGTACGAACTGATGCTATGGATCGAAGAGCCGTGATTTGGTTTCTTATGGGTTGTTTTAACCCATCATTAAAAGTGCATAATTTATAATGAAAAAGGATAAACGTTCTAGTAGGCGAACTTTGAATCCTCCAACGCTCTTATATCGCCAAGCTTGAAACTACGCGCGCTAAGACCTATCGTTTGTGATCAAGAAAACTTCCTCTACTTCGCCGACCTAACATTTCTCTCTTGCTAGTGCACGTTTGAGCCTTTCCACTTTCAGTCGTGTCCAGCGCTATGACTATGTCAGCCCAACGCGGGGAACACCCACCCCTGACAAATTTTAGATTTTTTGCAAGGAAAAAACAACGTTAAACTTGCGTCCGAAGAACGGGGGCTGAACACCTTTTGCAGAGAACACCTTTCTGCGTCGGCGGCCTTTGGCCGCGCTTAGGCATTATAACCCTTACTACGTAGAATTCTCCTTTCTGCGTGACATAACCCTTGGGAAAGGATGAGTTAACTAGAATTCCCTTTCTGTGTGGTAAACCTGGGGCTGCCGCCCCAGTGATGTCTATTTTGGTTACTGGGTGTTTTATAAAAATATCTTGTATATAAAAATGTATATACAAATTTATAACAAAAATTTGCAACAAATACCATATTTCCAACCGACATTATTGTTAAATTAGTGCACAGTTTTAGTACATTAAAGTTTTAGTTATTTACAAGTGTGTGTAAAAGTTTTTTGATTCGATTCACGCGTTTGGGCACAGCAACCCAAAATCGTTGTAAAAATTCATAAACAGTACCCATAATTTCGTCTGACAATACCTTTGCGGAGATATCCAGGGTTGCTGACGAGGTTTGTTTAATTGACAAAAAGAAAAAGCTGAGAAACAACGGAAGGTGCCGTTATTTTCTAGTAAACAATTTTAATATACTCTTAAAAATATTTCGACTGTTGTTTGCCAATAGTGAAGTTGCGCGCTAAACCGGTTTCAGTGGTTGAAAAATTCAATCAAAATTTTTCGTTTTTGCGAATTAATCAGCGAGTTTATTTTGCATCTACTGTAACTGCTCAATATTAGCAACAAAAATATTTTTTTCACCTGGAGAATTGTCATCTTTTAAATTCTGTCTAACAAAAGTTGTGTTTTCGTATTCTCCAGCAAAAAATATCCAGTAACTTGTCAGTAACCAAATTTCGGAGATTAAGCCAATATTTACTCCCAATGAGTGAAATATGCAAGAAAGTACGAAAACGCAAAACAAACAAGAAGTTGCTAGTTTTATGAACAGCTGATTCATTTGTTATTTTCCGATGCAATTTTCTTAGAAAACTAGTATTTTCCATCTTATATATTTAAATATGTTTATTTTGTCAATTGCAACTCTAAAAGCACCACAAACAATTATTTTGGTAATGTGAATTACATTAAGCATCATGCCATCAGCTGTTTTTCTTACTAGCAAATAGTTGCTAGTAAAAATTTATCCAGTAAAACTTGCACCTTCAGCTGTCATTTTTGCTCTCTCAATTTCCCCACTTTTGCTAGTTTCTTGCAAGTTTTTGCCGACGAAAACGACATCCAGTAAAAAACCAGTAAAATTAGTACTGGATTTACTGGATAGTGCGTAGCCGAACAAGGCTAAAGTCTTGTGACGTAGAGCGTTCATTTTCAATAAATATGTGTACGTATGTATGTATGTACAAAAATCGGCAAAATTTTCGTTATATGTACATATGTATACATTTTTGGGGCATATATCAAGCATATCTTTAATATTTTTGAGTCATTTTAATGATCATATAATTAAGTTTTTTGTGCATATTTTTGTCTTCCCTAGTTATTATAGATACAAAAAAAATAATAATAATAATCAATTTCATAGACTCAACATTTCCAAAATACTAGGAAACTATTTAAATTTAAAATAAGAATAAAGCGAAGCGCACACTTTTTTTTTTATTAAACAACAGTCAATTGAACAATAAATTCTTACTGACTATAAAACAGAAGTACTTAAAACTAGATAAAATGGTTGTATAATAAGCTAATAACTGCTCTACAGGACAGAGACGGGTCAAAAGTTGGAATAAGCACAAGGTTTGTTGAGTTTATTTTTGGTTAATTTCACATTTATCTCCAGTTTGCTTACTTTTGTGTGTGCTAACTATGGTTGCCGTATCACATTTTTCGTTTGTACCATAATTTCCTTTCAAATATACCAAAATTGAAAAAGTGCAGCAATCTGAGAATTTTTTGGCCGAATTTGTCAGTTTTGGTAGGTTGACTGTTGAAATTAAAATTTTATAATTTTAAAGGTACATTGGTAGCTATCAGCCAGGTTCTGCAATTCACTTCCGAACGAATTTCAATCCCTGTCAATTTGAATTCAAAGCGATTTTATTGAAATTCAATCGAAAGTGAATTACAGAACCTGCTTGAATATATAGAAAATTTTTTGGACCAAGTATGGGTGTTTGGCGGAGATTCTCTTACTTTTGAATACCTCATATATTCATTCCAATATAATTAATTTATATGTTAAGGTTTTCCTAAGCCAAAGGTATTCAATTATAAAAATGCCAGATCAGGGGAAATGTACCAAATGTACCAATAAATTGACAAATAAACCACATGTGGCAACTGTGGAAGTGATCAGCTATTTCGAAGGTTACAAGCTTTTGCAAATTTTGCGTTCTCGTACTTCTGGGGATATTTTTTCTCTTTGAGAGCGAATGCTGTTAAATTCTCAGCTCAATACGAGTACACACCTATTATTACATATTTCATTAATTTTTTAAATATAAGGTAAGTAAAGATTAAGTGTGGGTACAAAACGCTGTAGGAAACAGAATAGATGTTTGAGAATGCTGCTAAATTCTCCGAATTCTTGCTACGGGATAATCTTGTGTGCGCATTAAAATAGGTAGCATTGTTGTAAATTTTTGTTCTACGGATTCACAACGTCAGAACAGCGCTAATGTGCACTTCGCTTAAAGAGCTTTGCGGACTTTCAATATTTTTTATCATGTAGTCCGTTTGATAACCTAATAATCATTAATTATCACAAATGATCAGGATGAGGGGGAAGTTGCTAATTCTTGCTGAAAAAATTTTACTAGCAGCAATTTTCCAGCAACAAAACCAGCTGATAAATTTTTGATGATTTTTAAGGTTGAGATAACTTATTACAACTCCAACTGTTTGAAAGGAAAGCTGCAAGAACTTTTTTTTTTTTTTGTACGAATAATTTACAAATAATGCATTCTCAAATTCTTTTAAAATTTCCAATGTCAATTTAAATATTTTCCATTTGTTTCGAAAGGTTTCAAGCGCCGAGAGCGAAATCAGAACGCATACGTTTTCGATGTTCGCTCTATGTACTGAGTGCAAGATGTACTGACGGAAATTCTACATGTTCAATTTTTATTGACGGTATCTGTGATCCAGATTTCAAAATTTCTAGAAACGTTGCGATATTGATTACGATCCATCAATATTACATGCTACACGGTCAAAAGTGTCACGTCAATAAATATTGATCGTCAGACAGGGCCCATAAATATGTACATACATATGTATACTCATATACACTTATTGCCAAAATAATAGAAACACGATATTGTGTACACTTTTAACTATTTAATGTTTATTAAATTTTATATGTTTATTATATTTTTTATAATTTTTAAGCAAAAAACAAAACCGACTTCAATTAACATATAAAAATTTAAGATTATAGTTAATTTCTTCATGATCCAATGATCGGAATTAGTATGGGACCACCTGTGAGGTAACACCTTTCCTAAAAAAAAAATAGAGAAATCGATTAACGTGGTCCAAAGTTATGCGTCAACATACATAAAAAAAAAATAATAAAAAACTTTTCCGATGAATTTATAACCTTCTCCTTTTTGTGAAGTCGGTTAAAAAGTAAGGTTCAATATCTAACATAAACCATGTAAGTCCAAATTCTAAACTTTAGGAAAATGCATCGTTTCATCAAATTTTCAAACTTTTTAATTTTTTTAGTATGCCGTTTAATATCCAATAACATTTTAAAACAATAAAGTCCAAGTTTAAAGTTGCTAAAAAATCGCGTTGATTTTTCGCTTTTCTTTTGCGTACGCGGGATGTGCATTTTGTTCTATAAGAAATTCATGTTTCGAGAATACTTTATACGGAAAAAAATGCACAAACCAACTAAAAAGATATTATCAAAAATCAACGGTTTACTTAAACTTGAACTTTTAATGGTCTATAAAACAGCGTACCTTAAATTTTTATGAAAATTCTGATTAAAAATTTGAACTTTTGGTGAAAATTTGTTGAATTTTTATACAAAGTTTGAAATGTGAACTTATTTGCAGTTAGTGATATAAAAAGCTAGAATTTTTTAAAAAAATATTGAATATTAAATTAATAAGGTATTTCTATTATTTCTACTAGCAGTGTACATACAAAAAATTAAAGGTCCAATATACTTATTTATAGGGCGATTTGGCTACTTTTTATAATATATACTGGCTATGTAAACAGAAACATTTTTGCCAAAAAATGGTCAAGTTAGGTGGCGCCAGGGTCGAGATTTATTGAAAACCCGTATTTATGCTTGTTTAGTTGAAACATAATAAAGACATACCTTTGCAAAAAAAAATTTAGCCTGCTTGCAGAGCATTGTGTTGTGCTCCTTAATCGGGAGTAGTTTCGCCTCGTCGTGCAGGTGGTGTTCTGGCGGCATCAGAAGGCATCCAGTCGCTGCTTTTGTTTTTTGTCATACTTTTATTTATAAAGTAGACAAACTTCAAAAATTCATGATTTGAATCTCTTAATTCGATTTGACTGTTCCCTGGCTCTGTGTTTTGTTTTCGTTTTTCTTCGCTGCAAAATTGATGCAAAATGTAGGTTCTTCCTAAAAATTCATAAGTTTCCGTATTAAATTAGGTATATACACATTGATAAAATTAACTTTTCGTACTCAGAAAAATTCAAGTTTTGATTTGTGAGCTAGTTTCGATAAATTTCCGATAAAAATTAGAAACGGCACCGATTTGTTCGTCATTCGCATGGTACCATGGTGAAATGAACTGAAGGTGGCGCATTCCCGAAACCGCTACTTTGGTTTTGCCGACTTTGACATTTATGGCAATACGTAAACACACTTTTTGTTTAGAAACAAGTGCAAACGTATTGTGTACTTTCAGGTGAAAAATCGAAGTAATTCGTGCGTTCTGAAGTAAAAAACGTTTAATTTGTAATAAAAACTTTATAAAAATGTCATGTCGTGTGTTGAATTGCAGCAGCCGTAGGGGTAAAGCCCCCAAATGCAGTTTTTTTTTTGTTTCCCCGCGACGCCGCCTTGGCCAGAAAGTGGGTAGAGTTCTGCCGGCAGGAGAAGCCATACAATTTAGACACCAGCGTAATAAGCATGAAGCACTTTACCACGGTGCAGCGAACAAAGGTGGCGCCGTCAGTGGTACCGCTACTTTGGTTTTGACGATTTTGACAGTTGTGGTAACTTGTAAATAAACCTTTGTTTACAAATCAGTGAAGGAGAAATTTTAATTAAAAGTGAATCAGTTTAAATTGTGTTAATTTGCAATTTGTGAGTGATTTTTGAGTTGGAGACTGCGTAAAAACTAATACAATGAAGTGCTGTGTGTTAAATTGCGACAGCCGTCAAGATGCAAGAAGCGTAGATGCAGGTGTAGCGCTGGGACGATTCGCTGCATTTTGGGTACACATTGCAAAGCAATGGAGTGCACTAAAACATTACCTATTCTCTAAAATATTAGATGAAAAATGCAATATTTTCGCATTTAGCATAATTAAAACACATTTTTCGCTGTAAAGTGAACTGTTTTGGCAGTTTCTACTCGTTCTTCTTTTCGCTTATTCTTCGTTTACTTGTGGTACACAAATGTCAACGGCCAGGTTAAGAGGCAATACTTTCAACTGTCGCTTTTTACATTGCGATGTCCTACGAAGTGGAAATTGCCACCTCTACAGAACTTTCGAACTGGTTCTGGGCTGGTTCTATTTTCAACAGTTTTTTCTTTTCTGGACTGTTTCCATTTTAGACAGATCTGCGACAATAAAAGGGTACTCATATATACGCGCAAGTTTCATATTTGGGCAATTGGGCAACTTTGCGCCATGTGTTTCATGAGGACAATTTTATATTTTACACAATTTCTGACATTTAATTATTTGACTATACTTAATTTATAAAGTAGAACAATTGAAACTCAAATTTGAGTAAATATTTAAGTCTTACCGCAATTATTTCGAAAAAGCGTTGAGCCCAAACCAAAATGAATGTAAACAAAATAGCTGATTGAGGGTTGCACAGCACACTGCGCAAAGTTGCGCTCCAAAATTGCCGCGCAAAGTTTTCCTTTTTGTGCAAATGGCTTTCCATACAAATTTTGACATTTCATTTGCGAGGGTTTAAAATTGCACAGTTTGCCCAGTTTGCGAGAGTTTTGCGCTTTTAAATGAGTACCCTTTAAGTTTTTTATGAAAAAAATTTTGATTATTCGTTTTTTTTGGTATGTTTTCATTTTTTCTGTTCTTTTACAGATTGCATTTTATTTAATTTTTTTTTTATTCTTTTAATTGTACTAAAATTTGATTATTTTCTCTTAAATTTTTAAGCGGCACTCAACAATTTAAATTTGTTAAATCTGAAAATCACAACTGCCTACACCGCGATTTGAACGATGTTAGAGTGGGAAGTCTTCCCGCGGAGCTATTTTAGTATTGTACGAGAAGTGAGAATTTGTGCATTCACTTCTCAGCAGAGCGCAACTAGCACACCGAAAGTTTCATCTGTCCCTCTCTGCAGCCGTTTGGCACTGGTTCAGGACAGTGCTCCTTATTTTCATTTTGCCGCATTTCAATGTTGATTCTTTTACTTTTACTTTTAGTTTGCTTTGTCTTTTTTATTGGCTCAATTTAATTTTTAAAATTTTTCAAACCAAAAAAAAAACGATTGAAAAAGTTAGGGATACAGATTTTGAATTTCTTTGCTGAGCAAATTTCGGTTTTTGGAATTTATTTAAGTTCTCTGCAAGAGAGTTCGTGCAGTGCTAATAATGGTGGTGGATCTCCAACTGTAGAATACCAAAGTTTGCAAAACGAGTATTTTTTGTTAAGTAATATCGCCGCAAGCTCAAGAGACAGAGGAATTTGTAGAAGCGACTGCTAATTTAGTACAAGTACGTGCATGTAGCCTAGGCGAAGAAATAATACAAATATTTTGCTTAGGGCCGCTAACTTATCTATTTTAAAGTATAGCTAAATCACTTTTATTTAAATTTCTGTAGTTAAGTTTAACTACATATACTTTAACAAAACTTACCTCAGCTAACTTTACGATGAGACCTTTTAGAATCCAATTATAAGAGCCTATGCTTGCAGTAGTCGGCTTATTTGTGCTACGAGACGTGTGTAGTGAACTTCATCTATTGCACAAGACTGCTCCACATCTACCAGGCAGCATAAAGCCAATATCGGCGTCTATAATCATAAATACTTACGAAACAGGTACGACTATTGTAGAGGTTTAGACTAACCTGACGAAATTAAGCAATCCAGAGGTCGAAGAAAAGGCTAAAAGAATGTCTCCACTTTCGTTCCCAAAGCAGTATAAAAAATGAGGGTCAGTTTTTTGGAATGGCTAAGAGCTGAAGGTTGAATGTCAATAAAAGCATAGACAGACGGAATCGTTGATCCGAATCAACAGCGCAGTTGATCTGATCAAAATTGTACCCTGATAGACGGCAGTAATTCGGATTTACGAGCCGCGAACTCGTGGGTACGAGTCCCACGGCCAGCAGAATTTTCATATCTTTTTATTATTCTTTTTAATTCGTTCAATTATAACTTTTATTTTTTTAATTTTATAAAATAAGTATACGATAAAATTAAACAAAAACAAAAAAAAATGTAAAATCAAGTGTATAATTCAAATAAAATAAAAAACATATAAAATAAAAATAAAAAGTTATTGGCAAACGCAGGAATCAAGGGTCGAACTTGGGTCCTACGGAATTTTAGTACGCAGCTCTTACCACTAGACTACCGAGAATGCCAAACTCGCTTAGTTTGTTTGCTCTTCTTCGCCTGGGTAAAATATTGTCATAAGCGCGATTTTAACGATTTTTAGTTCTAGATGCAGTTATAACNATTTTCTTGAGTCAAATTTCCTTCAGGCAGTACGCAGTTCTTAAGAAATTGGCTACGCTTTTTACTACGGTTCTCTAAATTTTTTTTGTGTAAAAAGAGCACAAGGCAACCCAGGTTTGCAACAGAAATATATGCCCGTTCCATTACCCTGCAAAAATCGCGACTACTCCATGCATGCGTGTAAAGAGTACTCCCTAAGGACCAAAGAGTACTCCAAAACTAACCACAATTCATATAAAAAATATGGTCCAATTAACACTGCAATGTCCTAGGGCAGGACCATATACTCCATCCCTGCATTACATCAGAGTAGCACAAAACTACTCCAACATATTAACAATGGCATTGTTGTTATATTTTTTCGTTTGTACACACTTTTGTTCTTCACTTCTCAAATGCTTTTTCGAAATTAATAAAAACCAAGACAAAAATTAAAAATTACATGTTGCCTCTGACGGCATTCAGACCCGAACATGCTGGGAGCTAAGAACTAACAGCGAGCATCTCTACACGTTCAGTTACAGCCAGACATGCAAATGTGCTTTCAAATGCTCAACTTCAATCACATTTCGTTAAAACACGAGCAGTTATCGGATAACAAACAATAAGCTCGCGCAGAGACACGAGTTGGTGCGCTACAGCATGACAGAGGAACACTTTTGTAAGTACTCCAATTTACCACAAATAAACTACATGGTCCAACGATTTTTGCAGGGATATCTGACCCAAGGTTTGTTCTATGGTAATTAATTAAAATTTTTTATTGAAATATTTCAATATGTGGCTTTGCTCGTTTAGCCATTTCAGTTTTAAAGCTATTTACGTCGTCTTTCATTTGATGCCNATCAAAAATGTCAAAATTCCTTGGACACACGCGCGAAATAATGGCAATTTTTTCTTGGCCGTTTTCTTGAGAGCTGCATACAGGGCTTTAACTCGAAAATGAGAGAGCAACACTGGTTGAGAGTGACTCTCTTCAGTCCGAGGTGGCCAGATTTAGTCAGAAGAATTTTTGCTGGCAAAATCTTGAAAAGTGTCAAACTCAACTGAATTTAAATTAACGGAAATTAAAAAATACACAAAAAGTGAGAATAATTCAAAAAGTAAAAAAAGTGAATTGAAAGTGGAAGGAGGCAAAAAATAATTGATATAGTAGGTGTTTATTGTGCTTGTGCTTGCGTGAATGTGTTTTTTACATACATTTCTATTCTTATTTGACGTTAGTTTTGTTGTTGCTATTCTTTGGACTAAAAATTTGCTTTTTTGCGTGCCTTTACTTTTTCCTGTTAGTCTCTTTTAGTGAGCGCATTTTGCTTACGCTCTTGCATTTTGTTAAGGAATGGACCTATTATGTAGTACCTAAAAATAAGAGCTGAAAAGGGGGCGGCTGGTACTATAAGGCCCAGCGCGGACAATACTGTAAATCCGCCACTTTTTAGCTTAATGAATAAATTGGGTCGAATCATTCGACTTGAGATAAATTTCGTTCGGTTTGAAGTCTTTACGTTCATCATTGTCACCATTACCTTAAGCACTGAGGGAGTTTTGATTGTCAAAAAGGCGACTCGTCAAAATAAAAATATTACATTCCTTCAGTGCTTTCCTTGTACTTACACGCTTGGGTAATAACGACGACAATGTATAAGGATAAGCATACAGCATACAGCAATATTAAAGTAGAGCTTTTCAAGAATATTTTTAATTATAAAAGTTTATTGATCAAGTAAAATATACTTAAAAATAATAATGGTGTTTGGTCTTATTCTACTCTTTCAATGCATATATATTTCAAGATATTGTAATGGTTTTATGTTATACCAACAAAAATTCAAATGGCGAGTTTAATGAGAAGAAAAAAAGTTCGACAAAGAACTTGAGAAAGTAGTTGTAGAATGAGTTTTTGTATTGAAGCTTATAAAGAATGATTAATTTTAACACGACACTTCTAGTAGGCGTATATCATTACTTCAAACTATAGAAAGGCATTACCTCAATCTCCAGCCAATTTTAATGTAAATGTAAACTAAAAATAGTATAAAGTATTAAATAAGTGTCATATAAAAATATCATTCTAAAGAAATTCGACACTAAAGCACAATTTAGTTTTTTAGTCAATCTTTAAAAATCCAAAAATTTTAGGATTGTTCTATATTAGGGCAACTACATATGTATAAAGCATTAGTATGTTTTTGTCCAAAAATTAGTGGTATTCCCTGCAATGGGAAAAACCCTTGAACTTATATAAAAATACTTAAGTTATTAATATTTCAGATTTAAGTGAATACCATTTAAAATGTTTATCGTTCTCAGCTATAGCTTAAAAACCGAGGCATATTCAACAAGTTCGAAGTGAAAATCAAATTTAGCTCTCTTTTTAGCTGACTATAATGTTAAAGAAATTAAAAAAAAATTAAATAAACAAATTCGAAAAGAGACAGCAATCGAAATCACTTATACTTTGTCGTTGTTTGTTGTACCATGGTTGAATATATTGAATATATGTATGTGTGTTTTAAAAATGCATTTTACAATCAAAAATTACAAACTAATAGAAATTTTTCAACTTGAATTCATTTTCAAAATAAGGTGAAATTAAAATTGCTTGAGCAAAATTAATTGATCGCTGGAAGTCTACAACTTTACAACTAAGTACTTGTTAAATTTCTACATCTGCTATTCATTTCGAACAGTGTTGCACAGCGCTGGCAGTACAAAACAAAATTAAAACAAACTCATCATTTTGACAAACATTACAAATTCGCCTTGAAATTAGCAGCTCCGATAACACCACCTTATATGAAGTCGCCTAGGTTCACACGACTTGTACGTGAAAGTCGATTGGCTCCGTTTGGCTCACGTGTGCATCACTGATTTAGAAGTAAAGCTTTAGGCACAACATAACAGCAGTACCGACCCGCTTCCGATATTGGCTTCTTTTCGAGCCATTCATCAGTTTTTGCATAGTAAACTGATACGGAATTTGAGTTCCAGCCTCCGACAGCCCACAGTTGATCACTTACAAAGACGCAACCAATATATGGACGTCCCATGTTCAAAGAGCACATCTGTAAAAAGTAAGAATAAATTGTGTTTCGGTGTTTTTAAATCTTTTGTGTAACTATTTCAACAAACCTTTGTCCATTTGTTACTTTGAGGGTCATAACACTCGAGTGTTTTTTTGTCGGAAGTTCCACCTAAAACATATATGCATCCATTGTGTACGGCTACCTTAAATGTGAAGGTTTATGCATACGTTAGACATACATATATGTACATATTTTGTACATCGTTTATTTTCATACTTGTATGTACTTGTAAGTACAAAAATTTGCATAATTTGATTTCTTCTTTCCTTTGCTAACTTACCCCAGGGGAATAATTAATTTCATTCATATGTCCGCACTTTGTCCAAGTATTCGAAAATGGGTCATAACATTCAACAGTTTTTAAATCGTTTCCATTGTGGCCTCCGATAACAAATATTTTGTCATTCAAAGCCACTGCACTAGCCTGACTTCGTGGCATAATCATACTGCTAACTAATTTCCATCGGCCACCGGGTGAATACCTAAAAATGATTTAGTATTTACATGTTTGACGTTATTGATAAATATACATAGATATCTGACTCTCAGAAGCACAATGTTCTACAAGGGAATATGAAGCAAATATAGCCAAAAAGTGTAAAGCTTAAGACAATGTCAAAATTTCTTTGAGGCGAGCATCAAAAACCTCTTGGAGTTTGACTACCACGTATGGATAATAGAGTTTGAACATATTTAATTTGTTTGAGACCCAAAAATGGTCGTTCTACTGTGTTAGAAGAGATGATTACAACCCACATTTCAACAGAGTGGCGCTTTCACAACCCTCCATAGAGTTATAGCATACCGTCTTGTCTTCTTTTATATCGTGTCTTTTTTTTGCTGGCAGCTTTTTGCGTTTTTTTCTAGTATAAAGATTAATTTCATATGGAGGAAAATATGTAAGACCGTTTGCAAAAAGAATTAAAAAAAAAAAACAATCAACGGGATATCCTTGCAACTTCACACTTGCACTTTTTTATACCTTTATAACCTTTATGGGCTATAAAACGATATACCACTTTTAGTTTACAAATTCTAATTAAAAAGTTTGAAGTTTTTATTAAACTTTCTTGAATTTTCATAATTTTAATACGATATAATGAATTATAAAGTCAAAGCCGGTAAAAATCGCGCTTTTCTAATTACCTACCAAGGGTTCGGTTTTGCCATAGCTTAGATTACTTCACTAGCTTAGTTTTTAATATTTATTTTCATATTAAATTCAAATGAAAAAATAATTTTTCACTTAAAATGTTTTTGTGGAACTGGCCAAAATCGAGTACTTTAATCAAATATTTCAAAGGACTTTGTTTGTCACTAAAATATACATAAAATATTATTTTCTTCGTATTGAAATATTCAGGGCTATCACTGAATCATAGTTCGATTTTCGTGAAATCTAAAAAAATGCTATCAGTGAATCCGAATAGATTTATTCGTAAACGAACGTAGCATATATATGTACTTAGAATGCATGTGTTCGTAGCAATTCGGATTCAGGGATCGCATTTTCGTAGTCTTCCCAATAATCGGACTACGATGAATTCAGCGCTAGTCCAGATTAAAAATACTTACTTTTCCACAGACTGTGTACGTTGTCCAGGTGCGATAGTTCCACCAATCGCGTACACATTTCCATTTAATAGTACAACACTTGGCCAACATCTTGACTGAATCATTGAAGGTAATGTCCTCCACGTTTTCGTTTTTAAGCTCCAGCTTTCAACACCGCTAGTTATTTCGCCATCTCGTACACCACCAATGTAAATAATATTGTCTTCCATAAGACACATGCCGTATGCGCTTGCATAATGTTCTAATTCGGCGTATTTTTGCCATTTATCCTCAGTTTGGTCATATTGAAAAATTGTGCCTGTACAGCCCTGCAATTATGTATATGTACATATGTATTTTAAAAATATATTTATGAAGTTAAAACACATATTTAAAAAGTAAATATAAGAAGAAAAGTTAGAATGTATTTGAAGGTTCGTCTTTAAAAATATGACGGGCATGTTTTTTAAGGAAACATCCATGTCCGGATACCCATTTCAATTTTGATTCAAGTAATATATGTACATATCTAATGACTCAAATGAAAGCTCATTTCATCTAGTTTTAAATGCAGTCTGGCGATTTCACAAATTCAAAGAGGTAGATAACAAATAAAACAAAACTCCAAATTTGGGAAAATAAAAGACCGAACGAAAAATTTTGAGTCAAAATAAGACGCATAGGTCCTTATTGTGAGTTTAGAAAATCTATTTTCAGATTTATAAAAAACTACCGAGTATCTAAAGATGCATTTTTGGACCTACTCTTCTTTTCGCTAAGCTTTTATTATAAATATAGTTCATATTACAATTATATAGAAAAATTCTAAGTACGCAATTTTATAGCACATTCAATTTTATGCAAGTTTGAAGCTGCTGAAAAATAGAAGTGATTTTTTTTTTAATTTTTTTCACGCATTTTCCTCCATACCAAGTACTATGTTCGACAAGTTTTTTTTTTGTCCGTCCGCAAAAAAAAGACTAAAAATAACGCGATTTTTTAGCAATTTCAAACTTGCACTTTGTTATACTAAAATTTAATGGGCTATAAAAGTGCGCATTCGGAAATCTGATCAGAAAGTTGAAAATTTATTGAATTTTCCAGTTTTGCACAAAGTTTAGAGATTTTATTTTTATGTTTTTTTTTATTGTAGTATGAACTATATATTTAAACAAAATTAGCAAAAAGAAATTAGGATGAAAAGCTTCGCATACATTGCGAAAAATTCTCTGTGCCAATACTTTTGTTAGTCACTGTATGTAATTTTCAATATGTTGTCATTGAAAGCACATTTCGAACAGCGACATCGTTATAATTGGCTACTCGGTATGTAATTAAATGCAAAACTTACATGTATTTGCCCTTTTATAATTATTACATCTGTTTTGGGCGGTGATGGATGTTACTCAAAGGACATACAACAAATAACATGCCAAAATAAGAAATATAATTGAGCGAACAATTTGAATTTGGAAAAATCGATTAAAATTTTTGTTGCAAACCAGGGCACTTCACTAAAAGAGCAATACAAATTATGTATAAATGTGTGTGCAGCTTTGCACAACATTTGCTTGTTTTATAATTTTGCCCATCCCCGATGAAGGCGAGTTTTCAAATAAGACTCACGAGCATGATGCCCGAGGCGTTGAAGTGGAACTTGTTGAGATATCAGAAGCAGAAGGCATTAGAAATGAAATTTTAAGAATATTATAGAAAACATGATAATTACTCCAGAGTTCCTTTCATTAAACTAATAAATCTTGTTGGTTTCTTACAAATGTAATATATTACATAAAAAATTATCACAAATTCATCTCTTTGAAAGTCTGTTAATACTGAAGGAAGCAAGATATGGGAGTGCGTACTGGCTGTAATGACGCAGAAATATTGGCGCTAAAATCTGAGCAGACGAAAAAAGTAGCTACAATTTTATTACATCTATACATATGTATCTATACATATAATAATATATAATAAAATTGTAAACAGGCCGATGTCTGTACCTTACAGATATTAAATAAAAATTAATATGAAGTCAAATCAACAATTTTTAGAATTTTTGTCTGTCTGTCCATATGTTTGTACGCGCATCACTCGAAAACTAATGCATGAAATTTCATACAGTTTTCACCAATGTATTGCTAGAAGTCTATACTAAAATATAGGAAGAAAAAATTTAGAGCGTTGCCACCTGTTTGAAAATTGCAGTTTAAGTAAATTGATAAGATAGAGTAAATATTGTAATAGTGCTGTCAAAAGACAGCGGTTCCAGAAGGCTTACAGCCGAAAAAAATTTTTGTGGAGGTTGCCACATGTTTGAAAATTTTAATTTAATTTAATTGATAAGTTATTTGTTTTTTGTTATTTTTTGGCCATTTAACAATTATATTCAACAATTTTTTTTAAATTTTTCATTTAAAAATGGCCTCGAGCTCATTATAAAAAAAAAATTGTTGAATATAATTGTTAAATGGCCAAAAAATAACAAAAAACAAATAACTTAAGGACGAGCACACCTAAAAGTTAAGCATTCTAAAAATAGAATTATTAGCACAAACCAACAAAACCAACAACCACATGATCAAGTGAATTGCAGCGGAATAGCTGCGCTTGATTGTGTTGGCATAACAAAAATGAAAA